CTGGAAGTTTGCTCATTCTTGAAAGGTGTCGGGGAGACTTCGGATTCACTGCTCTCGTTATATTCGTTTTGGGTTGTAAGGCTTGGTTCACGGAGCCTCATTGCTGGCTGTTCCAGCAGGAGGCCATTTGGAGGCAGCCCCAGCAGTGGAGCAGAGACTGGATTTATGTACTGGAATGGAAGAAGGAATGCAAGGCTATTCGGGATGTTTTCAAAGTGATGAATGCTGGAAGGGTTGCTATTCTCCAGGTGAGCAAGGAGACTCGGGCTCCTGGTGCGATTATTGCTTTCAATAAAAGTCCTTATATCTGAATCTGTCTTTGAAGATGGCACAGCCACAGCCTGCCCTTCTTTTTCTTGAATTGCCATCAGCTCCACGATGGATTTGGTCTCTCCAAATCTCAGGAATTGCTGAAGGGTAATGATCTCTTCTTCCCTGGACATAATGGCCCAGCGGTCCAGCACCTTGCCTGCAGCATCCTAGAGGCCATATCAAAGAAACAACAAAGACAAACACAAAGAAAAAACTTATTGATTCTGCATAATTATTGAATTCAATAGAAGGTGCTCTGCTGCCTGAACATGAAACACTGAGTGCAAAAAACAACATGGAAACAGTGTTAATAGAACCTGACCAAAACAATGAAAATTTTCCACCCATGCAAATACAGTAATTAGAGTCACAATCAGAGAAACAGATTTCAGTTTAATCATGTCAGAGCAAACAAAATGTAGACCATGGGGCTCAGTGATCTAAAATGCTTTCAATACTTTAAAAAACAGTAACCTACGTACAAAGCTGCTTTTTTTCATACGTTAGTATAAAACATGGACTGTTGCTGTGTGCTGCATTGTAAAATATAGAAAACTGTAAGTTAACCACTATTAAATGCTGTCACTATAACAAATAGCTAAATAAATACATTTGATAGATTTGCTTGATAAATATAAGTAGACTGAAATCACTCATGGGCCATCCCAGAAGAAATTCTGATACAAGGCAAAAAGTCTTAAAAATAGAATATAACACTTGTACCTTATTCCTCATTCTTCCCCTCCTCCTCCCCCCCCCCCCATGACAGCAATACTGGAAAACATATTCATTATAAACTTGCATCAAATTGTAGGAATTGGGGCACTGGCTATAAGCATAACTGGACTATTACTGGCAATTGATTGTAAGCTTGCAATATTGGTATGGTTTCGACTTAAGAGATGACTTTTTTGTAGTCTTGTTATAAATGACCGTTAAAAATATGTAAAAAGTAAGCATCTGATGGATGCAGATAGCATAAATGTGTAAAAATGTTGTCTCTTAACACTGCCTTCTGATAGCAAGGGAAAAATCCAGAGAGAATACACATCAGTAATCACTAGCCTATCTGTTGTTAAATATACATTAAAAAGCATTTCACACTTTCATTTTTGCTAGTAAGCATGAGATTTGCCTGAAGGTAGGACTTAAAAATTCTGCAATGTAATGTCAGGCAATCCATTCCAGCATGTATTGATAAAAACATATTAAAATACTTATATAATGAATACATCATTTTATTGGCATCTTTGCTTTTGGGCAAATGCTGGACATGGCATCAGCACAGTAACTACAACCAGCAAGCACTGTTGCAGGCCATTAAACCAGAATTATTCCAATGCTTCCTCATGCATTAAACAGTTTGAAAGCCTTGCATGATACTCCACTATACTGTCTCTGATCTTTTAAAATCTTGAATCTCAGCTGCAGAACCTTACTTCGCACTACACACTGTTGCAAAACCCACTAGTTCTTGTTTGATTCTGAGGCCTGTAATACCTTTCTTCTTCTTCTTCTTCTTCTTCTTCTTTTTTTTTTTTTAATTTCAGGTCTTATTTATTTATTTATTTAATTTTTCAATTGTCTTCAGAGGATTGATTCTTTTCTCCCCTCACATTTCCTAGACTACTGGAAAATACAACTTGCCCAACATAGTAAAGCATGTATTTATTTGATTACAGCTGGTTTTATTATTTCAGTTCTGATCTGTGCCACCTTTCTGCTGCCTCTCATAGTTAAGGATGAAGGTTAATGCTGTGTATGTTTCTGTATCTTAGGTTCATCTGGAAAGCCTTTAGAGAGGCACCACACATGACCATTCACAACCAAACCTTACAAGACTGTGCAACCCTCAACAGCAATTAATTATGGAAAATCTTACACAGCTAACCCAGATGGAAAGCCCCAGAAACTGTCTCAATGCAGAAAATGTTCAGCATGTATTTACACAGTGATGAAGGAATCACCATGATGCAGATGGTAGACCTGGCTTGCAGCACTTATCAGGAAATGTCCCTACCTTTGAACACCTTTAAGCACTGTAAACACCTGAAATTTCTATGCCCACCCAGTTCTACAGGTCTGATGGAGTATTATTTTACAGACAGTCAGTGCTATCTAGCAAAAATCATGCGGAAAATAAAAACAAAACAAAACAAAACAAAACAAAAACCAAACAACCCAAAACCACCACCCAACAACAAAACAAAGAGAAGCAAAACAAAACCACAGTGGGGCAAGGGGAAGAGAGAAACCCCACCAACACAAACGAACAGTTAAAGGACAGGTTCATTATAGTTGGTTTTTTTTTCCTATCTAATTAACTTTGGATACTATTTCCATCAGTGTGACCTAGAGCTTCTTACATCTACTTCTGCACCTTCCAGCCAGCCATACAGGTTCCATGATCGAGTAATTCCTACCTGGAACTCCAAGCCAAGACTCAGTTCAGATTTTGGTCTGCAAGCTTTCACTGTCACCTCTCACTCAACCTATATACATACACTTCCAAACCCAAGCCATAAGTATTCGTTCCTTCTAACTGTAACTTGCATTGTTTGAAGATGGAAGAAATGTTGTCTAATTTACACTGCTTACGCATATTGAATTAGGATTCCTGTCTGCAGCCAGCTGCAGGCTGCTTTGTAATACACTACTGGTAGTAATTTGTTTTGGTTTTGCTTTTATTTGTAAATCACTCACAAGCTTATGTAACAGATGGATGCTTTACAAAAATGGATATTTAAGCAAGTAAAAAATAAATACAGCCAGCACAACAATAACTCATGAGAATAGTAGCTACAGATCCTGTAGCAGATCCCCACGTGGAAGTGGAAGGTGATACCTCGCAGTCCCTCACCTGGTGGCAGGGCACGCAGCTCTTTGCCTGCACAGAACTGGCAGATGTCTGCATGCAGGGGCTCCCACTATGCTCTTGGAGACTTATTCCACAGCTTAACTCACAGAAGCTGGCAGTTGGCTACATGAGCTACCTCTCAAAGACATGCCAGCACTCTCTGTTTAATTTAGTTTAAGGATTTGCAACGAGGAGCGCCAGACCTTCAGCAGCTGCTAAGTTCCACTGATCAGAGAAACCAGCAGTCCAGGGTGTGATTGTCATGCTGTTACCCTCACTGTCATATAAATAGCAGGGAATCAGAAACCTGCACTTAAACAATCCATGCCTATTCTTACTAGCTATATCAAGCTATATCTTCTTGGTTTTCAGAAAAAAGTCGGATTTTTTCCCCTCAGCAAAAGTATTTACATAGTGATGGCTTTCCATAAATCATTGTAAGTATGTATTATGCAAAACTAGATAAAGAGCAAATAGGAATGTCATTTTTTGATAAAACTTAAAATTAACCAAAAATCTAACCATTATCCCCTTTGAATTAAGCTATAACTAGCTAGGGATCTCTCTGTATATGGTAATACTTGATTAGATGTTCAGGTCCTTTCTTACATGTAATCGATTTCTTGTTTCTTACAATCTCTCATGCTAAATTTTTTCCCCAAAGTCATTAAATCATATTCACATTTAAATATTTCATGACAAAAGGTTCCATTTTATATTAGTTTTTTCAGCTCACAACTGATTAAGCCAAGCCTCCTGTGACAACATGTACAAGTAAGTCAGTGAGCATAGAGATACCACTGCACACTTCCAGCTCTAAGCCAGGCAGCAGACAAGTAAGCCCAACTCATACAGCGTACAGTGATGCTCTTCCTTCTTTGCGCATACACCTTTGGGGTTTTTTTTGTTTTGTTTTTTTTTTTTTTTATATGAGCAGGTGGCTCTCTCACAATTTCAGACACATCTCTAAATTACATTAAATTAATCTTTGACGAGACAAGACACAACCTTGAATCTTTTTCCAACTCTAAACAAACACACATTTGACTATTTGTATAGACACAGATTCACACACACACATACTACATTAGATCTATAAAGATCTGTTTGATCTGTGGCTAATCACCCTGAACCTGCCTCCTCATTTTTGCTGATCATATGTTAAGAAGAGAAGTGCCAGGATACGTTTGGGTACACTTGTCTTAAGCTTCTGAGTGAACAAGAAGAACAAGAGATGGGTGAGAGGACTATTACCTTGGGTGATGCAGAAGATGGACACAAAGACAACTCTGATTTTTGGAGCTTAACGGGAGAGGGTTGTGAAGATAAGCCTCATTCTCCTGAAGGCCTTCAGGATTTCCAAATTTCAAGCTTTCAACTGAGCTTTAAAACCTCCCAGTTTAAAACCTGCCTATTTACAAAATATGGACAGTCAACACAAATGCACTATAAAAACACTGTTAGGAAATCTGTTGTTTTACACTCTCAGTTTGTGTGAGACGCTCCACTGACTCCTGTGCTTGCATTACCTGCAGGTAATTTTATATTTCTACACATAGAGACATATGTATGCATACATTTAGGTACATACGCATACTTTTTGAAGTTCTATTTTTATCTTACTAATTAACTTTTTGGCATAGGAAAAATGTATATGTACACCTGGCTGAATACATAGTAAGAGATTATTGTACAGGAGTTGAGATTAATAGAAAGATTAACAAAAATTAAAATTGTTTCTTAAACAAGCTTTATATTCTCAGAAGCACTTAAGGTTTATTTTCAGGCACTATTTTGAAAACTTCTGAGAACCACCCAAAGTTATATAGAAAAACACATTGTTATCTTTCATATTCCAGTAACTTTGCATTTGCAAAATAAACTGCTTCTTTTGATGCATAAGTATCATGCATACTGTGAAGTATCCATGTTACAAAATACTACATAGATACATTTTATTAAATAATTAAACAAGCCTAGTGTTTATCACAAATATTTCTTCTACAAGAACTTCTTAAAGAACTATACATTTTCTAGCTGATCTCAAACATTTTGAGTGCAGTTGTAACAGCTGAAAAGCAGAAATTCATTTGGTCATAGTATAATTGCAGAGGATGGATTTAATTAGGGTGTAGACATTAAAAAAAAATAATTCTACATTTGTTTCTAATAAAGAAAAGCCCACATAATTTCCATGATTTAGCGTTTGTTGGTTTTGTTTGGCCGAATTTCCCAGGAGCATCTCCTTGCGTCCCAATTAAATTTCAAACCATGTACACCATGGGTAGTCCTACTACTCCTGGGGTAAAA